TTGACAGAGGTGTGATCAGCATTGGAAATTGCGTAAGCCAGAGGTGTCAAACTCATTTGTTATGAGGGCCGGATCTGACATAAATGTCACTTTGTTGGCCTGGACTATGTGTGCCATAAAGCGTAATGCCGGGTACCAGAGATATAAACTGTATGAAGGACAGCTGCTGGTAAGCTCCAAATTGATGTATCCTCTCTCCAAGGCCATGTGGGCTGGGAGGGGGGTCCAAAGAAAAACCCACATGAGCAGACAGGAGAGCTAGTGGTGCAGCACTGGGCAGACACACACTGCATGACTGCTGCAGATGAGGTTGTTCCACCATGCTGAAGCCACAATCGTAGTGGCTCTGCCCACGTCACCCTCAGCAGTCTCCTGTTCTCTCCCGTGCACTAGCTGCTTGTGGGCCGCATAACAGCCCTGGATGCGCAGGTTCTGGGCCCCAGACCTTATGTTTGACAGCGCTGGCATGAGCTCTTGAGGAAGTTTGCATACTTCAGCCACAGGAGATGACTTGGCATCATCAATGGTGAATCTTTCCATCCTATTGAAAAATGTGGTAATAATTAAAGAGGACTGTCCTGGAATGCTAGCCATTTGCTCCAAATGGTCTAATAAGATATACTCAACCATATAAAAGATAGGAGTTTTCAGTATATTTCATAGGGAAGAATTATTCATGTTTGCCTATGAGCACACATAACCAGGCCTCAAATAAATCAAATATAGATCATTCAGATATACCAGAAGTTGTTCTGCTCCCACATAGTCATGTTTCTCAAAAAAAGAGAGAAAGTTTGACACAGGTCCATAACTAGTTGAGTCTATCCAAGTACAGTTTCCTCCCCTCTCAGTTGCAGATAAACCACTGCTGCCTCAAGTGCTGAGTATCCTGGCCAAAGGTTCTCTGTACTTTTGACAGTGTTTAGTCATCCATGATGGTCAAGTAGTGGCTTTGACAACATCAAGTAATATGTCATCATCCATCAGGGATAGCAAGCCGACTTGATCCAAGCAACTGTGACAAATGTTTGTTTTCAGCACTACCAGTATTGGCTCTGTGTCTAAACTTCTATAAGCTGGAGCAGAAACAACCACCACATCAGTAAAGAACTGGGCAAACATGTTGTAGTGAGCCACAGGCATTTCCTCTTCCTGGAGATAGTATTTAGATTGGAAAGACTCGAAACCACTTTGAAGAGCTTCACTGGATGACGTTGCTAGCATTTCATTACATCAGAGACCTGGAAATAGGCCATATGATGGCATGTTTGACCTCATTCAGCTATTGCCTTCTATTGTCACTGCTCCAACATTTCCCCCCTTCCTATCAGCCAGCTCTGTAGTAATAAGCTAATCATCTTCAAGATGAATGGCCAGGTCTCTGTTACTCCCAACAGCTCTTCATTCCAGGTTGCTGCAAAAAGTAAGAGTTGCTGTTTTTATTCTCAGTGGAACATTTGTGAATTCTGTTTCATTCCAAAGCCTCCAAGGATGGGCTGTTTTAAACTGGCTTACTGCCTTTTTGGAGGCAGAAAGTTAAATCCAACCATAGCTTAAGCAAGAGGTACCTTGCTATGGTGATTGACTCCTTTTCTTTGGGTATTTTTGCATTTTGTGTGTGTGTGTCTGTGCCTGGAAGTCAGGGTGACCTCTAGTGACTCTATGTTTGCCAGCCTCAAGGTGGGGCCTGAAGATCTCCCGCTTTTACAACTGATTCCCAGCTGACAGATCAGTTCCCCTGGAGAGAATGGCTGCTTTGAAGGGTGGGCACTGTGGCATTGTACCATGCAGAGGCCACTCCCCTCCTCAAACCCTGCCTTCTCCTGGATCCACTACCAACCCAGACCTAGCAACCTACTGAGGCATGGAAGACATTCAGAGAAGTGGTTTGATAGCCTGCCTCTGGCCTCTCAGCCATGGTATTCTCTGGAGATCTCCCATCCAAATACCTGCCAGGGTCAGCCCTGCTTAGTTTCCAAGATCTGACAAGATCAGGCTTGCCTGGGCTATCCAGATCAGGGCAGTAGTTGACTCCTTTTGATGTTTTTGTGAGCTGCATTGGAAGCTTTTGTTTAAGACTGTGGGGTAAAAATATTGTGAATAAATAGTTGGCCACTTCTAACACTATGGAAAACTTTGGGAAGAGATGAAAGGATGGAATGTAAGAGCTAGCAGCTTAGGTCTTCTCAGGGTTTCTCTTGGGTGTGTATCATTCTTGAAATCCATTAGCCTTGGCTCAGTCCTGGTCCTTCTCAGCCATGGCACCTCTTTTCAGAGCCATCTCCCAGAATTCCCACTTTAGCACAGTTTTGGAGTCATTGTAAAGGCTTTGAAGGTAACTGAATAATTGATATTATGTTTATGTAGTTCACTATGTGTAGTAGAGATGGAGCAATGCTTCCTTTTTCTTTCTCTCTATAGTTTTTTATGCTTATAATGTTTTAATATGTACACCAATTACAAGATTTATATGCTTGTGCAATATAGCTCACACCTACATTTGTAAGGCACCTTGACTCATCGTTTGGGGGTGGGTGTATAAATATTTTAATACATTTATTGCTGAACCTCAAACTACAGTTTGGAAGATCATCTACAGTACAAATGATGGTGCCTGGGGAGAGAGCTGAAATTGAGCATCTGGGTCAGGCATAATGACTCTCAGACTTTCAAGCTGGTTAAATGACTTAAACATTAAAAAGTATATTTAAGGTATATTTAAGGCTGTTTTCTTCTTAACCTGTTTGACTAAACTTTAAGCTAAGAATACAGGGTTGCCAGTTCCCCCCTTGCCACTGGCAGGTCATTGAGGGGGGTAGGGTTGCCAGATCCCGGTTGGGAAACTCCTGGTGATTTGGGGATGGAGCCTGGTGAGGACAGGGGCCTGAGTGGGGTACAGTGCCATGGAGTCCACCTTCCAAAGCATCCATTTTCTCCAGGGGAACTGATCTCTGCAATCTGGAGATGAGCTGTAATTCCAGGGGATCCTTAGGTCTCACCTGGAGGCTGGCATCCCTATGCAGAATATCATCTTGAAAACACCATGGTATTAAAATGTATTAATTATGTGCTAAGATTTTTGGGCACCTCTTAAATAACATGCAGAACTCAGTCTGATTTTATACATTTTAATACATTTTTGAAACTGTGTCAGTGATTAGTAGATCTGTTGCTAAACCGAGCTCCCAAAATCAAAAGTGACCATCAAGTGTTACCATCTCAGTTTTAGTTACTTCAGTGTATGAGGTTAATATAGAGTGTGAGCTGCTTCTTCTCATTTAGGACTTTGTTTTATAAAAACATGTATGTTTCTACTCATATAATTTGACATTTTTTGCTTTTCTGGGAAGGTAGCTGTCAAGAACAACTTAAAAATAGAAGGCCAAGGGCAGGTGACAAAATGTCACGCAGGCAGCACCTGGCACAGTTACTGAACGCACGAACACGCACACACACAAAACCTCACCAGATGTCACATACTTGATTCTATTTTTGTGTCTGGTTAAATAGCACAATTCCAACTTTGGCAAAGGAAAGTAGGAAAAAGATTAAATATGCATCAGAGCTGTAGCTTGTAGCAAGCCTGTTTGTTCATTCATATAGCACTGTAAAACAATTTTAACTGCCTAGGTAGCCTCTTATTGTCGTTATTGCGCTGATAACTATGTTGGCAGGCCATTGTGTGCCATATGAGATTCTTACGTGGCTATGTCTAAAGTCACACAAATGTATCTCATTCAGCCAGTGGGCACCCTTCCAATTGGGAATGGAAGATTTGTCCCTGCGGTGACGTAAGACCTGCTGGGGCAGTCTAACATTTGCTCCTGGGAGGGGAGTCTGGTAGGTGAAGGAGAGCAATGCAACTTTTTAAATGCTTCTTTTGGCTTGGCCACCACCTGGGGACTGAATTCCCCACTCCTAGCCTGCTAAATCTGGATGGTGATAGCATTGCCAGAGGCATTACTGTCCCTGAGGGACAGCCCTCCCAGCTGAAGAAGTTAGCTGCCCTGATTTAAAACTTAGATTAGAGTGATATGATTTGCCTTAAAAGATTATGAAGGGAAAGCTATTTCAGCGTAATGTGAAATAAATAGCTGCCTCAGTGCCAGTTCTGTACCTGTATAGCTTAACTATGTCTTATCAGCCTGAGTTTTGAACAAGAGTGTTTAAAAAATAGGTGGTTATCTGAAATTCTGGAGATGTGTAATTGATTAATCCAAAAATTACCACTTGCTTTCTGATCTCTGTGAAATGTAGTCTTTTTGCGGCTGTGTTACATGAGCTGTAGTTATATGTGAAGAGGGCATTATAGTTTGCAGAAGCCAGGGAGAAGAGGAGGTTTCCCTGCAGTGGCCTCTTAAGAGGTTCTGTGCTACAAACCTTAAACAGGTTTCTTTCTCATTCGTATCTGGTAAGGGGGGGGGGAGATTAGGAACTTCAAATTATAAACAGTTTTGCCAATACTATAATTTTTTTTCTTGGATAGAATTAATAACAGGAAATTACAGATGTGTTTACACATCAAAGTGAAAACTCAGCTTGAGAATTTACTTGGTAGGGAGCCCTCCCCCACATTCTCACTACAGAGCTAGCAGGATACATTGTGCTTTCCTTTTGGGATCTCAGTTTTACTTTAGGGATCTGTTGTCTATAGCAATTGAAGAATGATATGCCATCCGTATTAATCTTAAGTACCAATTTGAAAAGTAATATTAAAATCTGTTTTAAAAAGTGTAATAAGATTGGCAGAGCCCTTGCAACATTATTCCATGCTTTTCTGCTTTGTGGTGACGCTTCTATCTTGAACAGTCTAATATTATCCCAAGTATTTTTATCTAGAAGAAGTAAAACTTTAAGGTAGTGTAAATTTTCCCCATTAGTTTCCTTGTTACCAGTAATAATTTTCACTTAATTACAAAATCTGATGTTGAAGAGCAGCCTAATATACCTAAAATAGAGCAATAAAATGTTCTTTCTCTTTTTTTGTTTATTTCTTTTAGGTCGTATGGGTATAAATTTTCACCATCCGGGAACAGATAACATTATGGCTCTTAATAGTAAGTTCACATTTATCTTTCAATAATGCATTTTTATATAACTGATGTATATTCAATACGTTCTGTATTTTGGACAGTGAGAGAAATACATGCTAATGCAGAAAACATGTCTTTCTGCATTTAATCAGTTTCTACACTTATCCTGTTACTGTACTTTAAAAACTTCTCTTCCATGTGTATTTTGTTATAGCAATTAAATGGCTTAGTTACTGTAGTTCAAATGCTCACAATGTAATTTTTATATTGGAGAAAACGTAACATTTACTTAGGGTGATTCTCCCCCCCCCCCCCCCCACTGATGTAAATTCATTGTATGTTGGTTTTCCCTATTAGGCAACCACAGTCTTTGGTTGTTTCAATTATTGTATGGCATTTAACAATGAATGTATATAATTAAAAACATGGAATTTAATAGAATTTTAAAGTATGACAGTGGTCTTACTTTTCTAAGGGAAATGTGGTTTTAGTTTTTAGTATACTTTGCAGAACTTATAAGAACTATACAGTTTTACTTTTAGGACCTGTTATTATGGGTTCTGACTAGGGTTGCCGGCTCTGGGTTGGAAAATACCTGGAGATTTTGGGGATGGAGCCTGAGGAGGGCGGGGTTTGAGGTGGGGGGAGAGTTCCATGGGGTGTAATGCCATTGAGTCCACCTTCCCAAATGGCCATTTTCTCCATGGGAACTGATCTCTGTCTCAGTTGTAGTAGCGGGAGATCTCCAGCCACTACCTGGAGGTTGGCAACACTAGTTTTCACACTCTCTCCCTTGAATGGCAGAAAGCTTGTAGCAGCCTTTGACAGGTTCAGTTTGTTTGGGAGTAAGAGGGCCTTGAGGACTTTTGGGATGTTGGAATAAATTTTGTTACATATATATGCACAGCAGGAGTGGCAGTAGTTTTCCCAAAACATAGAAGCAGTAGTTTTCCCAAAACAAAATCAGTTCAGTGTCCTTCCCCTCCTAATTTATTTTGACTCTTAAAACACACTTGTGCATTAATTAGGCATTTCTCACCCTATCTTAAGTAAAATATAGATCAGTGTTTTTGTCTGCCACTTATTGCTGTGGTATTCTGATTTTCTAAATTAAATGGATAGTGTTAAACAGTGTTAGATGAAAAATAAGTGGAAGTGTACCATGGAGTTCAAAGAAATTTAAGTTTTGTCTGTATGTGCTATGTTTTCTCCCTATTTACTTTAATGGATGGGGCAGCTCCATGAATGTGTTTCTCTGTGAATGTGGAGTTCCATATGCACAATGTAACTTGTGCGCCAGAGGGATTAAATGGGTTCAGATGGATATCAGGACTTTATTTGGATCACAGACATTACAAGTTAATAACATTTTGGTACAGTTGGTTGGAAATATTGTCTGTGTAGTACATGCTGAAGGCTCAATATCATTCCTATACTAGTTGCTATGGGCTTATGAAGTTGTTCTGATTTTGAATTGTCATTTCATAGACTATAGATGATGTATAGTAAAATGGAAAATTACACTATTAATTAAACCCACTACAGCATTTTATTTGCAAGTGGACTGAAGAAATTATTTTTCAACCCTATGGTCTGGTGTGTTTGGCATATGCATATGAATGTACTGATTTTCAGTTAGAACAATAGAAACATCTTCTAGATTAGTATGTTGTACTGGGAAAGTGAGGTTCTCAGCCAGTGATCAGTCAGAGATCGACCCCCCCCCCATATAATTGGTTTGTGTTTTTATGTCATGTGAGTGACATAGGAATATGTTGCCTATGCCTATTCTGAAATGCTGTTTTTTAAGAGCTGAACTATAACCTCTTCCACATACTTGGAGTATACTACATCCTGCCCCATAGCATTTGTTACACTGTTTTCTCGCCCAGAGGTGTTGTTCTCGCCCAGAGGTGTTGAACTCATTTGTTACAAGGACTGGATCTGACATAAATGTCACTTTTTTGGGCTGGGCCATGTGTGCCGTAAAATATAACATGAGGTACTGGAGATATGAACGTTACAAAGATGATTTCGGATGCCGAATGGCAATAGCAGGCTTGATTGGATTAGGTGTGATATGCAGAGGGGGTAGTAGGCGTGGAGATTTCGGCCTGCGGACCGTATGTTTGACACCCCTGTCTAGCCTGTACTTCCTTCTCTTCAGCACCAAAGCACACATGAGCCTGGATCCAGACTAGCATTTCATCCCACAGAGCATGGCTTTTCCTCTCCACATCCAGAACACCCTGAAATGTCCCTCAAACACTGTTCCTGTGTCCACTGTCTTCCAGAGACAAGAGTTTGGGGAGCATTTTGGGCTTCTGTGTTAGGGCATAGGTGAAAAAATCACTCTGCTTGGGTGAAAATCCTTGCACCTATGGAAACACCTATCTGGACCTGAGCCATGTGTTGCTCTATTTTTAAAATTCTTCAAAGTGACCCCACCCACAATGACATAGTGCTGTTGTGTCTTGTATAGCAGGCTACCACACCCAATCGAGATTGTGAGATCAAAATAGTGTTCTGAAAACCCTGCACAAGCTAACACAACTTTAATACAATCTTCTTCGCTAAGAGTCGATGGAGTAAAGAGGTATCCACTACAAAAGTCCTTAGAACTTTATTTAGATGAGAATGCTGAAACTTCACTAACAGGAATGCTTTGAATTTAAAAATGACTGTCATCACTACTGAGTTGCCAGCTCATTAAACTAAAAAAAAATATCTAGGTGTGAGCTTGGAACTGCAGTTACTTGTTATGAACAGGTCTGGTGGCAAACATCAGCTGTTTGGGGTGGGTCCAGTGGGCAGAACCCAGTAAAGAAGCTCTCTGTTCACTTAAGGTGTATCTTTAAAAAACAAACACGCTCCCTGTGTGAGTGCGGGAAGAACCTGCCTTAGCCCTTGCTTTTCAGTAATCAGCTCAAAACAAAATAAAACAAAATGACAGCCAGTGGTCATTGGGTTGTATTTCCACTCGGAAAAATTGGAGGAATTTAACTCAGCTATCATCCAGTTTCCCCATCTTAATATATTTATTGCATTTACAAGCCTCAAACTGACCTTGGGAAGAGGGTCTTGTTTGAATAATTTGAGATAGCATCACAAATGGCTACATATTCATTTTGCTTCATAAGTGTAAGCTTCTGTCTGTAATAAGCACATACAAGTGAAGTGAAGTACACGACAATCAATACATTATGTGAGAAGTAAAATTCACATAGCTAACAGAGCTAGTTCAGCATTCATGCCAATTAAATTGCTCATTACTTTTGTACAAATTATATGAAATGTAAATAATACCACAGGAGTCAAAGCAGGAAGCCAACAAGTCATATGTTAAACACTGTGCTAGGCTTAAATCTGTATAATTCTCTCTCATTGCCTTAGTTGGATCTGTCAGAGCAGCTATTTTTAAATTTTCGTGTAGGAGATCCAAGAAATAGCCCTGTGCCAGTTCTGCTTTTGATCCATGGAAAAATCTTCTTGGTGGCTTTCTTGGACTGTCTATGTTGCTTTAGCCATGGAAGGTTTAGCTGCTGAATATTTGTATGGCTTAAAGTGGACTGCCTGAGTATGCCTTCTTTCAGAACTATAGCAGGAACAAACTCCTAAACAGGCCATTAATATAGTAACTGAAGAAAGCACCAGTCATTCCAGTGGAAGACAGCAGAACTATTAACTTTTACTGTATTTCCAACAAACTTTAGTCTCTTCCATTAGTGGTTTAGTTATTTAGATATTGCGGAGTACAGCTGATAATTTCTTTTTCTAAACTATAGTTGAAGGGAGGCTGAACCAATAATAAAATGTAAATTGCTAAAATGTTGTATATGCTTCCCTTGGCACCAGTATTTCAGATTCTAGGAATGTCCATGTATACTGAGGAAAATTACATGATAATTTTAATTAAAATTCAATAAAGCAAGGAAACAAAAAAAGTAGGGTTGCCAGCTACCAGTTTGGGAAATACTTGTAGATTTGGGGAGTGGACCAGTGTTCCCTCTAAGCTGAGTTAGTGTGAGCTAGCTCACAGTTTTTTGCCTCTGGCTCACAGATTTTTGCCATAGCTCAGGAAGGATGGCTTCAGAGCAAACTAATTTATGCAGTAGCCAAATCACCTGCTCACAACTTTAATGCCAGTAGCTTACAAAGTAGAATTTTTGCTCACAGGACTCCATAGCTTAGAGGGAGCATTGGAGTGGACCCCAAGGAAATTGGGATTTGGGGAGGGGAGGGACCCCAGCAGGGTATAATGTCATAGAGCTCACCCTCCAAAGCAGCTATTTTCTCCAGAGGAATTGATCATGGTTGTCTGGAGATCAGTTGTAATCGCAGGAGATCTCCAAGTGCCACCTGGAAGTTGGCAATTCTTTAAAAAGTTAAACTAATACCATGCTGTTGTAGAAGCATGTGTTGATGGCTTAGAACAAACCATAACTGGGATGATTACAATAACATAAATGCAACACTTTCCGTTAGACAATTTGGCCTTTGATTTACTGAGTTAGCCATAATATATTTATTTATTTATCATATTTATACCCCGCCCATCCCACGAACAGGCTCAGGGCGGCTAACAAAGCGGTACCATGTACCTAATTAGTATACCATAAGAATCTTAAAACTCTATAAAATCACATACTCAATTCAACACATAAATTAGCAGTTAACAATAAAGTGCATACAGTAATAGAATTAGATGGCGTGCATTCGAGATCTCCATCTCTGATCATCATCCATCGCTCCGCCGGTCCTGGCAATAAGTCTGTGCTGGACCTGGGATCCAAGCATTCACTAGGATCATTGGTGGTAACAGTAGTGGCGGCTCCTATTGGAAGGCCTGGCGGAAGAGCTCCATCTTGCAGGCCCTGCGGAACTGTAAAAGGTCCTGCAGGGCCCTGATCTCCTCCGGGAGCTCGTTCCACCAGTAAGGAGTCGCCACAGAAAAAGCTCTGGTTCTGGTACTGGTGAGCCTTGCATCCTTGGGGCCCGGAATAATCAGTCGGTGTTGGGCCCCA